GTCAGCGTATCCACTGTTAGCGTAACACACCCGCTTTAAGGACACTGACTGCTATTCAATATATACCAGTGAAAAAAGTGTTTTGTTTTTTAAATCCAAGCTTTGTGTCACCAGATCTAAGTGGTGGCAATGGTCACCGTATCCACTGTTAGCGTAACACACCCGCTTTAAGGACACTGACTTCTATTCAATCTATAACAGTGAAAAAAGTGTTTTTTGTTTTTAAATACAAGCTTTGTGTCACCAGATCTAAATGGTGGCAATGGTCACCGTATCCACTGTTAGCGCAACACACCCGCTTTAAGGACACTGACTGCTATTCAATCTATAACAGGAAAAGTGGTTGTTTTTAAATGCGTTTTGTGTCACCAGATGTACTTGGTGGCACTGGTCACCGTATCCACTGTTAGCGTAACACACCCGCTTTAAGGACACTGACTGCTATTCAATCTATAACAGTGAAAAAAGTGTTTTGTTTCTTTTAAATACAAGCTTTGTGTCACCAGATCTAAGTGGTGGCACTGGTCACCGTATCCACTGTTAGCGTAACACACCCGCTTTAAGGACACTGACTGCTATTCAATCTATAACAGTGAAAAAAGTGTTTTTTGTTTTTAAATAGAAGGTTTGTGTCACCAGATCTAAGTGTGGCAATGGGCACAGTATGCACTGTGAGCCTGACACAGAAGCTGGCAGCAGTGGCAGACAACTAAGTGCAATTGCATTACATATAAAAAATAAATTAAAAAAAAGCATACCCTTATCCCTAACCTAGCTATGCTTATGAACAGCAGCTACACTTTCCCTCCTCTTACTAAGCATGCAGCTTGAGAATGAATCTAAAATGGATGCCTTCCAGGAGGTGGGAGGGTCTGCTAGGGAGGGTGTGCTGCTAATTGGCTGGAATGTGTCTGCTGACTGTGAGGTACAGGGTCAAAGTTTACTCAATGATGACGAATAGGGGGCGGGTCGAACCGCGCATATGTTCGCCCGCCGTGGCGAACGCGAACATGCTATGTTCGCCGGGAACCGTTCGCCGGCGAACCGTTCGGTACATCACTAGCAACCAGGCTTCTCCAGTGTATAGAGGCGAAGTTGGTTTTGCCACAATACACATTCTACCTATCCCCAGATAGCTTAGATCTGAGCGAACATTATTACCGGATGGCGCTCCGATCACATACATACAGTTCAATCGCCATGGAGCCAAAGTCTTTCATACAGTCTTTCAGTATACGGCTGGGCTCCATGGCATAGCTATCTGGGGTAGCATGGCTTTAACAGTCCGTAGAAATGCACGAAGACGTTTTTCTGCAGGGAAAATAAAATGTTTTAACTGCCGGGCCATAGTCTAAAGGGAGCAGGCGAGCAACCAGGCTCCTCCAGTGGACAGTGGCAAGGCTGGTTTCGCCACAGAATATAAGATCAAGGAGTTTATTTACTGCAGCTCCACACGGGTGATATACCTAATCAGGGCAAGATTAAGAGCCCAGTTGGCCTGGTGCTGACAATTATGATGGGCCTAATTACAGAATCTTATCGACCAAAAACACTAAAACAGTCCTACCTCCCAATCGTCATGTATCTGGCGGAAGTGGTGCTGAAGGGAAATTCATAGGGTGCAGCTATGAGAAAACATACTCTATGCTAATCTCTCTCTAATTTATGCTTTCATCTTTCAAGTAAATGCATATCCCCAAACAGCAGTGTCCAGTGAAGCAGGACGGGGTAAAAGGGTGAGCCACTGATGCAAATCAAGTAATCAGAACTGCTGAAAGAGGTGAACATACCTTAAAAAGATGGCGTGTCTGCCTAGAGAATTGGAAGGCCTACTATACAGCTAGCACCCTGAGCTTGGCATAAGGACTGTCCCCTAGCACTCGCTGGTCCATTCCTCTACTAACTTCCTTACTAGTAGGCAGAAGCTCCTGGTATATAGTCTGGGACAGAGAAAAGCTGTACAGGGAGTGCAGAATTATTAGGCAAATGAGTATTTTGACCACATCATCCTCTTTATGCATGTTGTCTTACTCCAAGCTGTATAGGCTCGAAAGCCTACTACCAATTAAGCATATTAGGTGATGTGCATCTCTGTAATGAGAAGGGGTGTGGTCTAATGACATCAACACCCTATATCAGGTGTGCATAATTATTAGGCAACTTCCTTTCCTTTGGCAAAATGGGTCAAAAGAAGGACTTGACAGGCTCAGAAAAGTCAAAAATAGTGAGATATCTTGCAGAGGGATGCAGCACTCTTAAAATTGCAAAGCTTCTGAAGCGTGATCATCGAACAATCAAGCGTTTCATTCAAAATAGTCAACAGGGTCGCAAGAAGCGTGTGGAAAAACCAAGGCGCAAAATAACTGCCCATGAACTGAGAAAAAGTCAAGCGTGCAGCTGCCACGATGCCACTTGCCACCAGTTTGGCCATATTTCAGAGCTGCAACATCACTGGAGTGCCCAAAAGCACAAGGTGTGCAATACTCAGAGACATGGCCAAGGTAAGAAAGGCTGAAAGACGACCACCACTGAACAAGACACACAAGCTGAAACGTCAAGACTGGGCCAAGAAATATCTCAAGACTGATTTTTCTAAGGTTTTATGGACTGATGAAATGAGAGTGAGTCTTGATGGGCCAGATGGATGGGCCCGTGGCTGGATTGGTAAAGGGCAGAGAGCTCCAGTCCGACTCAGACGCCAGCAAGGTGGAGGTGGAGTACTGGTTTGGGCTGGTATCATCAAAGATGAGCTTGTGGGGCCTTTTCGGGTTGAGGATGGAGTCAAGTTCAACTCCCAGTCCTACTGCCAGTTCCTGGAAGATACCTTCTTCAAGCAGTGGTACAGGAAGAAGTCTGCATCCTTCAAGAAAAACATGATTTTCATGCAGGACAATGCTCCATCACACGCGTCCAAGTACTCCACAGCGTGGCTGGCAAGAAAGGGTATAAAAGAAGAAAATCTAATGACATGGCCTCCTTGTTCACCTGATCTGAACCCCATTGAGAACCTGTGGTCCATCATCAAATGTGAGATTTACAAGGAGGGAAAACAGTACACCTCTCTGAACAGTGTCTGGGAGGCTGTGGTTGCTGCTGCACGCAATGTTGATGGTGAACAGATCAAAACACTGACAGAATCCATGGATGGCAGGCTTTTGAGTGTCCTTGCAAAGAAAGGTGGCTATATTGGTCACTGATTTGTTTTTGTTTTGTTTTTGAATGTCAGAAATGTATATTTGTGAATGTTGAGATGTTATATTGGTTTCACTGGTAATAATAAATAATTGAAATGGGTATACAGGGAGTGCAGAATTATTAGGCAAGTTGTATTTTTGAGGATTAATTTTATTATTGAACAACAACCATGTTCTCAATGAACCCAAAAAACTCATTAATATCAAAGCTGAATATTTTTGGAAGTAGTTTTTAGTTTGTTTTTAGTTTTAGCTATGTTAGGGGGATATCTGTGTGTGCAGGTGACTATTACTGTGCATAATTATTAGGCAACTTAACAAAAAACAAATATATACCCATTTCAATTATTTATTATTACCAGTGAAACCAATATAACATCTCAACATTCACAAATATACATTTCTGACATTCAAAAACAAAACAAAAACAAATCAGTGACCAATATAGCCACCTTTCTTTGCAAGGACACTCAAAAGCCTGCCATCCATGGATTCTGTCAGTGTTTTGATCTGTTCACCATCAACATTGCGTGCAGCAGCAACCACAGCCTCCCAGACACTGTTCAGAGAGGTGTACTGTTTTCCCTCCTTGTAAATCTCACATTTGATGATGGACCACAGGTTCTCAATGGGGTTCAGATCAGGTGAACAAGGAGGCCATGTCATTAGATTTTCTTCTTTTATACCCTTTCTTGCCAGCCACGCTGTGGAGTACTTGGACGCGTGTGATGGAGCATTGTCCTGCATGAAAATCATGTTTTTCTTGAAGGATGCAGACTCTTCCTGTACCACTGCTTGAAGAAGGTGTCTTCCAGGAACTGGCAGTAGGACTGGGAGTTGAGCTTGACTCCATCCTCAACCCGAAAAGGCCCCACAAGCTCATCTTTGATGATACCAGCCCAAACCACCTTGCTGGCGTCTGAGTCGGACTGGAGCTCTCTGCCCTTTACCAATCAAGCCACGGGCCCATCCATCTGGCCCATCAAGACTCACTCTCATTTCATCAGTCCATAAAACCTTAGAAAAATCAGTCTTGAGATATTTCTTGGCCCAGTCTTGACGTTTCAGCTTGTGTGTGTCTTGTTCAGTGGTGGTCGTCTTTGAGCCTTTCTTACCTTGGCCATGTCTCTGAGTATTGCACACCCAGCTTTTGGGCACTCCAGTGATAAGTGCTGCAGTTTGAAGTATGGCCAACTGGTGGCAAGTGGCATCGTGGCAGCTGCACGCTTAACTTTTCTCAGTTCATGGGCAGTTATTTTGCGCCTTGGTTTTTCCACACGCTTCTTGCGACCCTGTTGACTATTTTGAATGAAACGCTTGATTGTTCGATGATCACGCTTCAGAAGCTTTGCAATTTTAAGAGTGCTGCATCCCTCTGCAAGATATCTCACTATTTTTGACTTTTCTGAGCCTGTCAAGTCCTTCTTTTGACCCATTTTGCCAAAGGAAAGGAAGTTGCCTAATAATTATGCACACCTGATATAGGGTGTTGATGTCATTAGACCACACCCCTTCTCATTACAGAGATGCATATCACCTAATATGCTTAATTGGTAGTAGGCTTTCGAGCCTATACAGCTTGGAGTAAGACAACATGCATAAAGAGGATGATGTGGTCAAAATACTCATTTGCCTAATAATTCTGACTCCCTGTATATTTGTTTTTGTTAAGTTGCCTAATAATTATGCACAGTAATAGTCACCTGCACACACAGATATCCCCCTAACATAGCTATAACTAAAACAAACTAAAAACTACTTCCAAAAATATTCAGCTTTGATATTAATGAGTTTTTTGGGTTCATTGAGAACATGGTTGTTGTTCAATAATAAAATTAATCCTCAAAAATACAACTTGCCTAATAATTCTGCACTCCCTGTATGTAGTGAGTGTAGAAGAAAGGGAACATGCCACAGTGTTAGAGAGACTGAAGCAGCAAGATCATTTGCATTGTGCACAAAGTCAGCTTTACCTTAACTTATTTCATTGTCAGCCAGTCCGCACAAGTTTTGTTCCCATACATCCCTCTAAAGTTTACATACTTAAGCAAGAGTATGTGAAAAGTAGTTAGGGTTGCTACCTTTCTGAATAAAAAAAACTGGCCTTACTAATTTGCATAATTAATTATGTATGTGTGTGTGGCGGAACCAAACTCGCCACTGGAGGAGCCTGGTCGCCCGCCTCCTGCTGCTGGACTATGGCCCCATGTTTAACACTGTTTCCCTGCAGAAAGGCTGGTTCGTGCCTTTCTGCGGACTGTTAAAGGCACGAACACCGCTGAGCCGCCAACCTCCCTTCTCCTACCTGCAGTCAATTATCCGAACACCGGTCCATTCGGTACTTTACTGTTAAAGCTATGCTACCCCAGATAGCTATGCCATGGAGCCCAGCCGTATACTGAAAGAATGTATGAAATACTTTGGCTCCATGGCGAATGGACTGTATGTATGTGATCTGAGCGCCATCCGGTAGTAATGGGCGCTCAGATCTCAGCAATCTGGGGATAGGTAGAATGTGTATGTTCTATGTGATAAATGTAACAGTA